AATTGGTCCTAACTTCCTGATCTGGTCGATCATTTATCAAATACCAATAGGCAAGTGATACATGCACATTTTACTCGATATGTTGTTTTTGAACTAAAATTAAGCACCAATTATATTTTATTATTTGTTAGCATTATTAGTGAAAAAAATTCTTATACAAATAAAATGTGTAAATTATAAAATAATAATTGCAATACCTAGTATGTAATAAAAAATTATGAAATATATACGAAGTTATACTTAAGAATAGTTTTGTGAAAGCCGATGCGGGCAATATTTTTGATAGAAGAATACATATTTACGAAATATTATGATAAAGCGGTCCAGCTCACTTAGTCGCTGACTTGCTCTCCTATATGGGTAGTCATCATTCATGAGTTCGAAATGCCAAGAAAGCAGTTATATCCTGTTTAACCCCAAGTACCCCAACCCCCATGATAAAAATTCGGAGTATTACAATGTACTTGCATCAATCTTCCAGACCGACTCCAGGTCTCTTTATTTATTTTGTCCACCATCTCTGCGGCTTCTCCTCTTTTTCCTTCTTCTCTTCTCCTCTTTTCTTCTCATTCTTCTTCTCCCTCCCTCTCTTTCGTTTTCTATGCATCTTGCATTTGTTAAATTTTCTGTTAACTTCTTTGTGTATTCTTTAGAATCTAAATAAAAATGTAATTTTTTATTTGAAAATTTTGGATTGTGAATTTTGGATATGAAAATCGGAGGCTTCAACCATGGATTTTAAGGATTTGAGTTGCAGGGCACATGTATTTTTATTAACTTGTAAAATAATGCCTGCCACATTGTGGCATTTTTTTAAGATGGCAATATGGCATTTTTAAAATCCAGTAGTATAAATTCAGGTAGTCAAATTTATTTTACTGAGAGCTTACTTGAATTTTATAATTCGGTTTTTAACACTATTGTATTCAAAAATAAACTTTAATTTTAAATGGATAGCATTTTGTTATGAATCGTGTTTTCTTCATCATTGGTTTATTTTACAAATAGATGATTGTCCGAATTTAATGTAGGTGCTTTGTGTCATGGTGATATGTTCTTTATTTATCAGCCGGATGTCACTATGTTATTGAAGATGGGCAATTCACTTTCAATTTACACCAAATTTAAAAGAATTTGGTATATATGAATATCAAATGATGTCCATGAAAAATGATGTCCCAATGTGTCATGATTAAACAAAGCATCAGACATATAAATCACACATAAACAAATCACAAATCGTTCAAAAATCAATGTTTTAGACAAAACAATTAAAAGTACAATAATCAACCCTATATAGTCGGGATTCCTTTTAGTCGGTAAATCAGGGGCCTTTACATCGACATAGAGCTTAAAATATGATCATCCTTGGCATACTAATATATGGAGTACTATAGATGAAGTTGAAACTGTAGATTAGCTTTTTCACATTCAAACATATGATTTTTTTGAGATTGTTCGAGAAATACACGATTGTATTGAAAGCTTGCTCAACAAAATATGATTTTCTTACAGGTAATTATATTTAAGAAAAATATGAAACTCTGAATATAACTCATTTTCATAGTTTGTGAAACTTAGTTTACATAAGTTATCTACAACGGGTGAAAAAAAAAGAAAGATTTAAGTATTTATCATGAATTAAGCCTTTATCGCACTAAATTAGATATTCGTGCGTACAAATGCGTCTCTAAAGCATTAAGGGTGTGTCGGTGTCGATGCCGCCTGTCTTTCTCGGTCAAGGGAAACGGAAACACCCTAAACCATTCCAACATTTAAAACAATTCAGCCTCATATTGGACCCTTCTCTCCCTCTTCGCAGGGCAGCTAAACCCAACCATGTTCCTTGCAATGCAGTTTACATACTGTAACATTATTCATAAGGGAAGACATTAAATACATACCGCAACATTCATAAGCGAAGAATTTAAAACATGAGAGGTTATCTTATAAGTAACACGATAGAATTATGTAGACATTTTTAATTAACATAAAAAATAATTAAAAAATTATGTGCACATATTTACACACACAACCCGTGTGTGATAAGAAATAGCCCAAGAATTGTTCAAAAGCAAAATAACAGCTTGTTGATATATGGATTATATACATAGATTGATGATATAATATGCCTGATATTTAAAAGCAGTCTGGAATTACTCCAAATCCAAATCCAAATCCATGGAAATGTAAGAGGACAAATCTTACCAGGAATTTGCAAAACATCTTGGACCAGAATTTTCCAATCACTACTACTCCACTCTGGGAGCATGCAATGCTTCATGAAGCACAGATTCGTCCATTCTGTTGTTTATCAAGATCACAATTCATTGAAACTATGAATCTCAAGATAAGCCAATAATCCATAAAATTCTCAAGATAAGTCAATAATATCAAATGGAAGTATTTACTTTCAATAAAAATTTGAACCCAGAAACTGAAAATTTGTCATGAGTAGCGGACTTGACTGAAATATCCGGTCAACATATTGCTACCGGCGACCTCCCCCGCCGCGGAACTGTTTCCATTCCTTCGACTTTGTTGATTTCCCCTAGGTCCTTGGATTTTGGCGTTGTCTCTCTGTTGGGCACCATAGTTGAAACAAAAAGCCTAAGTTCACCGTCCCCAGCTCCAAGTTTGGAAAACAGGTTGGTGAGACACCATGTCGCGAGCTCTCTCAATCGGCCAGCGTGCTCACCGCCGCGTTGCTGGGTTAGAGGTCGGTTAGGGGTCTATGGCCCTCCATTTACGCCGCTGCAATAGATGATATATATATAACCTAGCCGTTGAATTGCCCAATGCTCTGCCTCTTCCTCACCAAATCACAGCCTCAATTCCAGAAGCGCCGCCATTCAATGTGAGGTCCTGCGGTATGGACTGCTTGGCGGTTCCGGATGAAATCGATGGTTTTAACTGGTTGCAAGACATAAACATCTGGATGATGATTTTGGATTACGGCGTGCATAAGAAGGAATATGACATCGACACCAAGTTTTCACCAGCTTCCACGATGCTTGTCCTTTGAGAAGGGAAAATGAGAAGGAATATTAGTTTGTTTGGTGGGGATTCTTTTGACCTGATCGGTGGTTATATTCATAAAAAATATTGTGTTTAATACACCATTCTTTGGAGGGACATGGGCAATGAGAGAGCAAGCTATCAATTAAATGCCGAATTGACAATGCATAAAGAAGTCTGACAAAGTTTACCGCATGTACTCTACAATTTTAAAGTCTTGATTAAATGATATGTACTTTTTACATATACTTCGAATCACGGGAATCGTAGATTTTAAGAGAAAATCTTCAATGAAGATTCTCATTTATTGCCTTCTTATCCGCTGGGTTTCATATGGGTAAGCATTTATTGAGCTGTACTTTTACACTTTTACATCAGTGGAGTTGGCAGACCCGTTAGTGCTGACCCGACCCAGACTCGACCCACAGCTGACCTGGTAGTTTAGGCGGGAAATTTGGCTGAAATCTACCTCCTTTTGTATATAGATAGATGATATTATGATACACAACTTGATAGATACAGATGCTTATGAATATGAGAATCATAGTTTTTAAATATCCGACATGCTCCAGCTATAATCAAACAAACACGCAAGAGGCAGAAACAACGCAAGCGGACGCAAAAATTAAATGAGAATGTAGTTGTTGGATGGCTGGGCGGTTGCACTCGTGCTTCCGTATGAAGGAGGGCAATGAGCAGGCCGTTGCAGAGTGCATTTTTTTTTATGTTTGGAGAAATGGGTATCATAATCGTTATCTTTTTTAAGATCTAGTGGTAGAGCTTAATCTCAACAAAAAGAATTTTTGGGAAGATCTAGTAGCAACGAAAATGCCACAATTTTTGGGAAGATTTAGGTGAATTGCCATTGTAAAGAAACGAGCCCACCATTTGAAGATCCAGTAGCATTTTCCTTGAATTTTTTGGAAGTTTTAGCAAAGCTTAATTCTAAGTAAGGTAGTACTTGGACCGAAATTTTCCTGTATGAATTGACATGATAATGTCTGATCTCATGCATTTTATAACTATCCAAGAGTAATCTGATTTGATACTAAAAATCGTTCAAATAAAAACAATCTAAAAAGCTTTCCCACGTTTTTGATAGTTGGTGGCATGTAGTTATTGTTGGATGTTCAAAAGTTGGTCACATTTATGTACAAAAGTGTAGAAAATGAAGGTATAGCTAGAATGATTCAAGGGTATAATAATACAAAAATGAAGAATTGATTTGCCATGCCATAGTAGACTTGGACTCGGGTCAGGCCCGGGCCTAGGCCCGGTCGGGCTGGCGGTTCTAAATAGCTGGACCCGGGACCGGCCCGGGTAGCCACCGGGTCCAGGCCGGGCCTCGGGTTTGGTTAATTTCTTTTTTTTACTTACCTACCCATCCCTGACCCCCCCTCACCCCCACCCCCCAACCCCCCAAACCAGTCCTAAACATCAAGCCCAACCCGGGTGGAGCCCAAACAAATGAAAAAACCAAACAAAAAAATCAATTTGGACCGAACCGGGCCCAGGCGGGCTTTGTTTTGGGTGACCCGAGCCCGAACCGGAAACTCATCGGGTTGAGCCTACCCGGACCTGTCACTGACCGGGCAACCGGTTCGGGCAGGGCCGGAACAGTACCTGTCCCGGGCAGGTTCCGGGTCAGGCCACCTCACCACCTGGCCCGAGTCCAAGTCTATGCCATAGATGCTCCCTTTCTAGCGCTGTTCAATTTTTCCGCACTTGATATGTTTCTACAACAAATTGCACATATTATAATTTATATCCAGATGAGTTTTGGATTCGAGAATTGCCTTTGAAATTACCAACTTTACCAAATCAACAAAACCAAGCCCAGCCGAAACTTGACAAATTTTAAAAACACAAGTAGTCCTGGACTCGGTTCAGGCCACCCTGCCCAGGAACTATACATGATTAGGGAGTCAGGACCATCAGGAGTTCAGGACCATCACCCATGCAAATAAGACCAAGTATCAAGGTAAACAAACAATTAGAACATCTGTTAAAAACAAGAACAAAATAGAACACAATTAAATAAAGAAACAATGAGAACATCTGTTCAAAACAAGAACAAAATGGAACACAATTTTGAAACCAAAACTTGCTCCCATTCAAGTCGCTGTAAAATGCGTCAAGTCTGGATGTTTAACAGTCTGGATGGGTTATAAAGTAAAAGCACTAACAAGCACAATCTCAAACACATCATAATAAATAACATAGTACATATAAAACTTAAGATCCCTTGTCAGCCTTGGCAGCAGCAACAGCAGCTTGACCACGGACACGACCAGTCCTCCTGGCAGCCACCAGACCAACTTTCTGTCCAGGTGGTGCATCACGGCGAACTGTACTGGCATGACCAATGTGTTGATGGTTACCACCACCATGGGGATGCTCCACTGGGTTCATAGCCACACCACGAACCTTGGGCCAGCAGTTCCTCTTCACCCTGAATTTGTGATAGGCATTTCCTGCTTTAAGCATGGGCTTCTCGGTACGCCCACCTCCGGCCACTTGACCAATCATAGCCCGGCAGCCACTGGGCACAATCTTCTTTGCTCCTGAAGGCAGTTTAATCCTGCATATAAATACAATAAACATTAGTCAACACATAGCTGACAAATATAGAGAAAATAACGAAAAGTTTTATTTAATGCAAATCTCAGGAATCAAAATCCATGCATAACAAGAACCATTGACTGATTTAGTTTTTTGATATAGAATATCACAAGATATTTTAGTGGTAGAGCAGCCCAAGAATTTAACCATCTGATCAAAGATACTTCAAACAAATTGGAGTTTCCAAGGGGAAAACATATCTAGAGTACCATATCACAATAATGTAGTACTCACTCCGTCCCATAAAATAAGTCACATTTTCCTTTTTGGGCCGTCCCAAAAATTTGTTCCCATTTCCCTTTTTGTGGCTAACATTCATTTACCTTTTTCTTACCCAAACTCAACCATACATTTCCACTTTATTCCCACTTTCTTAAACTCCGATCCAAATTGAAATGGGACTTATTTTATGGGATGGAGGGAGTAGTAAATTGCACAATCCAAGACTACCACATGAAGTTGAAATAAAATATGTTCGTCCACAATAAAATCATGTTCAAACCACAGCCTATGTTGTAGAAATCTAGAAGTACTATAAACCATAAAAGCATACTAGGATGATAAACAGAATCAACTGAATTTGACAAGACTTGCCACTTTGTATTGGCAACTTTACTTGCCACTTTGCTTTCAATTGACAAAGAAGACTTTAGCATTAGAAATTTTTGAAAATCAAACAACTCTTTTATGGAACGAATGGCGAAGCTAACAAGGTTAAATATTGGTTTAATGGAGTTAAATGCCAATCAATACGCTAAAAGTCACAATCATATAAGAAATGCACCTCTCAAAATTTACAAAAGTATTCATTGGGCAAAACAAATTACTATGATCGCGTGAAGTTAGCATGTAGCAACGAGTGGGAAGGCACAAAAATAATGAAGTATACAATTAGTGGAGAAGCTAGTTCAGAGGATGACACTATGTAAAATTCGACTTATGGGGTTCTGTAAACTTTAACAACACAAAAGAGTAAACAACTATGCCAACACCTCACTAAACAACGATTCAGTATGTAAAGAAAAGCAATTGTAAAAGATTAAGTCTCCAATCAATTTTTTACGATGAAATGATATACCATGTACACAGAGTGTAAACGAGTGTGCAATCAGTGAGATAAAACAACAAATAAGATGCCTCGCAGACTCTCATAATCACACTAGCACACTTGAAAGACAACAATTTTTTTAAATTCACAGGGATAAACTTATATACCTAGATGTTCCATTGTCAGGGTTGTGACTGATGACGATGGCATAATCACCGGAGCACCTCGCGAACACGCCTCGATCACCAACCTTGTGCTCAACGTTGCAGACAACCGCACCCTCGGGAATAGATCTGATCGGGAGGACGTTTCCTACCATAAGAGAGGCCTTCTTACCGCAGTAAACAAACTGTCCAGTGTACATCCCCTCGGCGGCGACAAAAAGCTCCTTCTGGTGCTTGTAGCGGAAAGGATGGCGGAAAGTGACACGAGCGAGAGGGGCGCCGCGGCCGGGATCGTGGATGATCTCTTGCACTACACCCTTGAGGTAGCCATTGCGCTCCCCGAAATCGAGCGACCGGAACTTGGCGGGGCCTTTCCGGTGGTGGGTGTGAGACTTGAAGACAGACCCGGCACCTTTACGCTGAGCACGGATGACGCGACCCATTTCGCAGGGAGGGAGTGGGAACGGGGGGAGGGGGTGAAGAAGAAGTTTGAGCAGCGGCTTAGGTATAAATGATGGATATGGAGGCAAAGGTTAGGGTTTTTATTGGGCTGGGCTTTGCTCTAAGCGTCTGATTCAAGTATTTCCAATGGGCCTCTCTTTACTATCGTTTTGTCTAATTACTTGAACAAAACTTTGATTTTAGATGTTTTTACTTGGACGGTAATTCGTCCCAGACCAGACCAAAACAGACCAAATCAGACCATATTTTATTATCATCATCATCATCATCATCATTCATCATCATCATCATCATCATCGTCGTCTCCGTCGTCGTCATCATCATAATCATCATCATTATCATTGTTATTGTTATCTGGATGCGCGGTCTATGCACTGTTGAGAGGTTGAATGTTTTGTCATAAGCGTCAGAGACCGAATGTCCCGAAGTCGAACGTAAAATAAGGAGTATTTCTCCCAATTTTAATATATAGGATTCTTTACAAATTGTTAATAGTGCATAGACAGGGTTGTACAAGAATTTGGAGAGAATAAACTCAAACTCAAACTTGAAAAAACACAAAATTGTTTTTTTCATTTGGTTCTGAACTTTAATGGGTGGGGATTGAATCCCAATGTTTCCGCGCCATCCAATATTCGTTTTTTCAATTGAATTGAAATCCATTTTAATCCCCCTTTCTCTAGGGATGGATTCAGGCCGGGCCGGGTCTAGGCCCGGTCGGGCCGCCGGTTCGTATCACATGGGCCCGGGACCGGCCCGAGGGTTGGACGGGTCCGGTTCGGGCCGGGCCACCCGCCCGGGTCACGGGTCGGGCCACCCGCCGGGCCGGTTAAATATTTTTTTTTAATTTATATTTTATACTTTATAGTTTTATACAAGTATTAAAAAACAAACTTCAAGTGCATTTATTTGAAATGAAATAGGAACTACATTTGAAAATTAAATAGGAACTATAATTGTTTTTAATCGGAATCTCCGGCATAGGTAGAGCCACCCTCGGTTGTAGATTCATCCATAAAGTGTTGGGATGGGTGATGTCAATTTCTTGAGCTCTACGGGCTGCTTTCAACCAATCGTGGTAGCATATAAGCATCTCAAGAGATTCAGCGCTCAACCTCGTTCTGGTTTGTGTTAGGACATTGCCGGCCGAACTAAATTCTTGTTCCACGGCAACCGTTGAAACCGGCATTGATAGCACTTGCCTAGCCATCTTTGCTAAAACTGGGAACATTCTTTCTTTTCCCTTCCACCAGTTTAGTACGTCAAAATCATCATCTTCTTCAAAATCAACATCATAAGTTAAATACAAAGAAATCTCATTAATTGTGCTTTGTTGTGTAGCGGGAGTTGATTTCGTTTTTTTAATAAGATTGACAAACGTAGATTTGAAAATTGATTTTCCTTTAGATGATGTTTGTGTCGGGGGAGGGGGCGCATTGCCATATTGTGCATGAAACTCGTTGAATAATGCATAAAATATATCACTAACCTCGTTGTATTCTTTTTTCGGATCAATTGGGTTGTCCTCATACATTGGCAATGGACCAAAAAAAAGCAGCATAATAATAATTCAAACATTCTTCTAAAGAACCAAGTCTAAAATGAGGATCAAGAACAAATGCAATACCATAAATATGCGGAATATGTGAATAATATTTTAAAAACTTTTCCTTCATAAAACCAGCAAAATAACTCACATAATCAGCATTCTCAAAATTTGAAAAAGCACCGGCGAGATTAACAGCTTCACGAATAAACTGGTTTGAGGTAGGTTTATAAACATGACTAAAAGTTTCAGTTGCATTATTAAAATATATCAAAGCATTACAAATTTGTTCACAAGTGTCGATCTCAGCCGAGTTTATAATATAGTTATCATATTGTTTCATAAAAGCAGGAAAATGTTGTTTATATCTAAGAAGAACTCCAATTAACTTATAGGTACTATTCCAACGAATAGACAAATCTTTAGGAAAAGCCACATATCTCTCACCTCTTTCTATCAAATAATCATGCCATTTTTTCCTAAGTTGTCCATTACCCCAAATACGTCTAATCCCCCCTTGACTACCTTCAACGATGCTCCCAACGCTTTTAGACCATCTTGCACACATAAATTTAGAACATGACATGCACATCATTGATGAAAAAATCTACCCATCAAAGAAGTAGAGCCACACAATTCACGCAATCTAGGAATAGCAGCAGTATTATTAGTAGCATTATCAAAACCAATAGCAAACACCTTATCAATTAAATTATACTCAATTAAAATACGTTCAATCAAAATATAAATATGTTCAGCGGTGTGACGATCATTAAATTCACGGAAAGCAAGAACACGTTTATGCATATGCCAATCATTATCAATATAATGTACAGTCAGACCCAAATAATGTAAATTATGATAAGTATCCTCCCATATGTCAGAACATACAGTAACACGTCCATCAAAGTTTGCAAAATAATTGTGTAACCTTACCTTTTCCGCACCATAAAGCCTTGAAATTTCTTTCTTAACCGTTTTGCGACTATAACCTCTATATTGCGGATTTAAACAAGTTTGTGCATAATCACGAAAAGCAAGACTTTCAGAAAACAAATACGGCAAATTTTCTTCAACAAGTAAGTTAGCCATACCTGTCAAATTTTGTGCATCATTGTATGAGAGATTACCAAAAGCTTGTTGGTTATTTGCAAACCTCGATATTTGCGTTTGCTTCCCCGTTCCGCCGCCTAATTTTGCATACTCCACCGGGTGTTTGGACTTAAGGTGTCTTGTGGCGGATCCGTATCCGCCGGAAATCCCCAAGCTATAGTTTTTCTTGCACCAATTGCAAGTTGCGATCCAATTCTCGGTGTTCGGGTCCTTCCACTTAGAAAAATTATTAGCCATTAATTCGGATTTATTTTTTTTTGTACCTGTTTGGGATGAGGCTGCTTGGTCGGCGTCATGGCTGCCGCCACCCTCCTCCTCCTCGTCGTCGTGGCTCTCCGGAATTGCTTCCTCCACATCGTCGTCCTCGAGCTCTTCTTCGTCAATGGTCCTCGGTTGGTCTTGAAAAAAACGGGAATTATATCGGTGCAATTCTTGTTCTAGTTGTTCGTCGGTCATCGCATCCCCATCCCTCCTTGCGTAACCCGTATCAAAATCATCTCGACTTTGAGATGAAGAGCCGATATGTGATTTACCTTTGCGGGATCTCTTCCTCGCAAGCTCTTTCGTTCGGTTGCGCTCGAGGTTACCCATATCAACCGAATATCTAGGACGATCCATCTAAAAAATGTAAAAAACTAATTAACTATTTATGTAACTATTAAATCGAGTTATAGCAAATTAACTAGTGAAATAACTAGTTTTGTGTACAACATATTTTTTAAACTAGAGTCAAATGTAGCAATTAATAAAAAATTGTAAAAAAGTAATTAACTATTTATCTAACTATTAATTCGAGTTATAGCAAATTAAGTAGTGAATTAACTACTTTTGTGTACAACATATTTTTTTAAACTAGAGTCAAATGTAGCAATTAATAAAAAATTGTAAAAAACTAATTAACTATTTATGTAACTATTAAATCGAGTTATAGCAAGTTAACTAGTGAATTAACTAATTTTGTGTACAACATATTTTTTAAACTAGAGTCAAATGTAGCAATTAATAAAAAATTGTAAAAAAGTAATTAACTATTTATCTAACTATTAATTCGAGTTATAGCAAATTAAGTAGTGAATTAACTACTTTTGTGTACAACATATTTTTTTAAACTAGAATCAAATGTAGCAATTAATAAAAAAATTGTAAAAAACTAATTAACTATTTATGTAACTATTAAATCGAGTTATAGCAAGTTAACTAGTGAATTAACTAGTTTTGTGTACAACATATTTTTTAAACTAGAGTCAAATGTAGCAATTAATAAAAAATTGTAAAAAAGTAATTAAATATTTATCTAACTATTAAACAAGAGTCAAATGTAGCAAATTAACTAGTAATTAAACAAGTGTAAATAATAGAATAATTCCGTACCTCTTTCGGACTTTCGGTCTTTCGGATGAGAGTAATAGAATGACTTCAAATTAATTAGATATAATTCCAACTATATTAATAGATATAATAAATATATAAGTAATATATAATTAGATAACAAATATAAGTAATATAATACTATTTATATCTATTTATAGTTTATATAAGTAGATAATTAATATAAACTATAAATAATAAATATAATATATTGGAGAATGGAGAATAAGAGAATTAGAGAGTAGAGAGTTAAGAATAGGATTTAGGAAGAATTGGAGAAGAGATATGAAAAAATGTTTAAGATTAGGAGTATTTATAGGTTTTTTAACACCCCACCCCCCACCACCCACCCCCCGGACCCCCCCTGCACCCCACCCAACGGCTATATAGCCGTTTGGGTTGTCCCCATCCCACCCCCAACGGCTAGTAGCCCAATTTAAAAAAAAATTTAAAATTCAGACCGGACCCGGGCCCGGGCCGGGTCACATTTATCCAGCACCGTGCCCGCCCCGCCCATTCCCACCGGTTCGGGTCCACACCCGGTCCCGGACCGCCCGACCGGGCCGGTCCCGGGCCCGCACAGTACCGGGCCGGGCCGGGTCACGGGCCGGGTGGCCCGAACCGAATCCACCCCTACCTTTCTCCATTTACTCAAATATCTACACAAAATTATTTAAGCAAAATTACATTCACACATCTATTACACTTCTTTACACAATTCTTAACATCTACACCAAAGATTTTTATCGTAATTCGATAAGTCTAGAACTATTATTCAAGCACCGTAACATGTTTATTCAATTTAAGTAATGAACATTTTATATATATCCAACTAAATTCTTTTTTTCATCGTTTACACACAAATTTAAAATTTTAAATTTTCCATTTTCAAGCTTACTTTATATTATCGGTAACATCATTTATACAAAAAAATATGTAGTACAGAGTATAACATTTGTATCAATAATCAACTTAACATTTTCATGAAGTATATGCTTTGTATGTAGGAACATTACATGCGTTGTTCTCAAATTCCTCCTAGTCGGTCCGACTAATTGATGCCTAGGCGCTAGGCAGTCATAGTTGTAGAGGTTTAATCGCCCTAGTCGGCCAACTAGCGGTTAGTGAGCTTTAGAACAATGATTAAAAATAGCCAAGTTCTATGACACCTTAAGGTACTGAGGCTGGAGCATAAGGATTAACCATAAATTTCAATTAAATAATTAAAACATAAATAAAATAATGATTTTGATCAATTATGTGTATGATAATACCCTCGTTTCTTATGAGTACCATAGCATTGATCTTCAAATTATACATACAAATTAAACACGCAAGGGTGATTGGGTAGCTGAGTTAGCTTTAACTTTGGCTTTATGTAGCAGTCGAAGATGGCGGCGGGGCTCCTGCATCAGCAGTAGAAGCCTCTTCCATATCATTATTGTTATTATCTCTGTCGCCTGTGGTGGTGGTTTTACATCGACGATAAAACTTATGTACTAGATTCACTATGACTCCCACAATAACGAGGGTTATGATTAGTGCGGCGAGGCCGAGGATCACCAATCCGATCCTATTCCACGCGCCTGATGAAGATGCCTCCGGGTTAGATGACATTGAGAGTTCTACGTGTGGTGAAGATGATAATGGTTGATCCAATTGAAGAGACATTTTTAATGACGCCCGCCTTACGTTATTAATTAATTAACTGGATTTGTTCAATATATAAATAAATATATGCTATGCTTAGCTACATGCATGTACAAAGAAGAAATATTGAAATTTATGTGATACATTTCATGATGAAGCCAGCAAGGTACTTATATATGTTTACAGAAAGTTAATGAGCAAATTAATGGCGTGCGTAGATGATGTGTAATAATAATTGCAGGCGCATGAGACTCTAATTAAATTAAAAAATTGTGCCTTTTCACTTTGGAGTTTAATTTTCACAAGTTCAAAATATGATCGAGCATGGCATCCATTTATAATATGCAATTATGCATGACCATGTTTATGGATGGACTCGGGTCCGGGCCGGGTCCGGGTCCGGGGCGGGCCTAGGCCCGGGCGGGCCGGCGGGTCAGAAATGGTGGACCCGGGACCGGCCCGGGTAACCACTGGGTCCGGTCCGGGTAACCACCGGGTCCGGTCCGGGTCCGGGCCGGGCCGAGCCCATTATATTTTTTTTGTTTTCCTCTTCCTAATTAACCCCCTCCCACCCCCAACTCCCCAAACCACCCCAAATGGCCCAAAATACCCAGCCCAACCCGAAAATTTAAAAAAAATTGAAAAAAAATAGTTTTTGGCCAGAACCGGGCCCGGCCGGGTCGGGCCTTGTTTTGGGTGACCCGAGCCCGGACCGGAAAACCCACGGACCAGGCCTACCCGGACCGGTCACTGACCGGGCCACCGGGTCGGGCCGGAACAGTACCGGTCCCGGGCCGGTTCCGGGTCGGGCCACCCGGGCCGGTTCCAGGTCAGGCCACCCGGGCCGAGTCCATCCATAACCATGTTACACACTGTAGGCGGTAGAGCTCGGAAAATTTTTGTATGACAAATTTCGTAAGCTTATTATCATAGGCTCATAGCGTCTACAATTTTTTACTCCGTATAAAAATCAATCCAAGACTAAGAGACCGTTTTTTTTTTTGGATTAGCCTAAGAGACCATTTGACAACTCCAAATTTTAACTTATCTTTCTTGTAAATCATTTTTTTATCAAACACACCAAACTGTAATAATCAAAGAATTACTTTTTTGATGAGATTGAAATTGCTAAAGCCTGAAGATGAGTATTTTTCTATTTTTCATATAATTTGTTCTTTATGTTATTAATGAAAATTATTTAATACTACATATTTTTCATAATTAAGCATATTCATTACGAATTTCAACCTAGTAATCCAATTTAGTGTTACCAAACATGCTCTAAGGGTCAAAGCGTTGTGTTCTAAGGCTATAATTTCTGGCATTAATTTGTGTCAACAGGTGCAAGAGATTTTATAAATCTACGTTCCCCATGAGGATGAGCAATTTGTGAACAAGTTTTCCCAAGCTCAAAGAACGGCTACAGAAAGTTGCACAAAAGATAAATGAAAGCATTAGTTGACCGCAGAGTGCAGATGTAACAGTGAGAAATATAGTGGACAGGTAAGATACAGTGGAACCATAGATAATACATCTCTCGATCAATATTTCATGGGGATACTCATTTTTAGAATATGACTAATATTTGGTACTGCATTCCGATTAGTTTGTCGGACTCGTTTCTCCACCCCATAAGTTGACTATTTGAAGCCTCCTTGTGTGTACGGGTGAGATTCTTCTGTATTTTATGCAGCATCTAATTCTCAATCCAGTTCAACTAAGACTCCTAAGAGCCAAATGTTGCAGCATCCAACTGATAACCAATCGGCAGCACAAAAAAGGCAAGCATCAAACTGGACGGGGAATCTAGACTCCCAAACCAAGAGAGTAACATGAAAATTTGCAGCCATTCAAACACTTCTGGTAATGAACCACGGTTATGATGTGTGCATGTCAAATACAAGAATAACATTATATTATAGATCTCATATGTAAAGAAATGCCGACAAATCATTGGTTACGAAAGGGTATGATATGAAAAAGAGCAGAGGAATCACCTGCTTCCAAGTAGATTTTGTTAAGTTGATGTTCAGTTAGACAAATAGTAGAGTGATGTTAGGCATATTAGGAAGTCATTCAGAAGAAGACCAACTGCATCGAAAACAAATTTTGGAGCAAATAATCCCCACACCTAGAAAAAAAAGTTTGTCAAACATGAAATCCAACAGCTAAGATGACTGGTAATCAAGCGTCTGAGAATCTAAATGCAGGGGATACCATCAAATGCCGTCTCTGTATTGTGGCAGATAAGATAGTGAGGGTTGCAGTTGTAGCCATAGCAAGTCCATACATTAAATATACCTGAAACAAATAACAGAAACCTACATGCCTCAAACACTCCATTGTTTGACGAATTCCTAGTACACATTTTCAGAGATAAGCTTACTTGTAACAAGACCGTGTAAAAATATTGATTGGTATTCTTCACAGGATTTTGGTAGGCGACAAGAAATGGAAGTCCAATAATCGGAAGAATATGAGAAAAGCCGAATGTATCAATAGTCAGAAGAACAGCTTGACGAACAAGGTTGAATTCATCAAACCTGGAACAAGTAGATGGCAGAGCGAGTGGTGTCACTTTTATGCATACATAATTACATATGTTTAGGTTTCCCTCAATAATAAACAAAAGTAAGCTTCGTTTTCATTCAAATAATATATGCTCCTTTGCCCCATCAGCTTGGAAAGACAAAGAAGAAATTAATAACCTAGAAATCACTAAGGTCAATGACCCTAATTTTTTGAGAAGAAAGAAACAATTGTTCTCACCCAATAAAAGCCGCAGGATACCGGAGCCCATCAAATGTACACCTGCACAACATGAACCAGCACAATTATAAACTGATAAAAACAAATTGCAAGGGGTTGCACCTTGCACTCCTCCTCTAGGAAGAGAAGAAAAACTCAGCTCCAAAGAAAAAAGTGTCACATCAAAGACAAAGAAACTAGTTGGCGGTACAAAACAATAGAAGACAAAATCAAAGATGCCTTTTAAAATCCAGCTGCACTTGGGTCATCAGAGAAACATTTCTTTACAAAAACATTTGGGATGAGGCTGTACTTTATCGTGTCACACCATCAAAGAATCTTACACAGTGAATTAGAGATACCTTCTACAAGCATAGTCTACATTTGCTTCGAGTAGTAATACTTAGAGATCAACTATCCCATGGACCTTAACTTCAAAACAGAAAACCAAGACTATATGGCATGATTAGAAAGAAAATACATTACCAGTGACCAGTACAGAAAAAGAGGCATGCAGCTAATATGCTCCATTGAATCACTGGAAGACAATGCAATGTTGAACCCAGATCTCTCTGCTCTAATCTTGCTAGCCTTAGTATGCACCAACCTATGCAAGAATGTGTATATGCATAACCTCAAGGCTTTCATACTTACAATGAAATAGTATATTAAAGAACAGGAAATTGGGAAACAAACTGAAGATTTGGAGCTGAATAGAACACTGAAAAACAGGAAGTATAATAAAATATAATAAGGGCCTGAACCTTCAACCACAGCTACTAAAGCAACCAAAGGACCTTGTTTTCCTGACAGAATGATGATGATTGAACTCCAAGCGAATAACATAGACAATGCATCAATTTTGCATCTATCCCGGTCTGAAGTTCCTTCTTTACTAGAAAATCGGCTGATCGCCAAAAATAGAATTTGCATAATACCCAATAGATATACTATTCGGGAAATCCGATTTGCTTTACCGCTGTCAATTATAACACTTAAACCAAACATGTTACTATCTGTAATCCAAGTTAAGGCTGTAAGAACGTAGCTGCATATAGTTCCTGCAACAATATACTTCGAGATGCCTTGAGATGCACTCTTGTGCACCATAAGTGCTAGAAGTATAAGAGCTACTATTGGTAAGAGATCAGCCCCATAAATCCAGAACACAGAATCTTTTTCTACTGCTAGAGTCCATGAAGGAAATGTTTTTAAAAATAAAGAATTGACTGCCTGCTTTGACTGTCCTATTTCGATTCCAAATCTGAGGAAGGGGACCAGGACAAGAAAAACTAGAGCCTGCAGATTCATATGAATAAAGTAAAAACGTAAGGCTAAAGTTTTCAGGCCTTCTCTTGTCAGTATATCTTCTACATGAAGAAGCAGGATTTGGGCACTAAAATCAAGAGACAGAGACACAATTTGATAATGGTGCGCTGTGGCAGCAACAGCATCCTATGCGAAGTTCGCTGTTTACTTGAAAACAGTTGGGTTTCACTAGGGTTAAAGTGTTAAACTAGGCTTAGGAAATTGGACTCTTTTAGTATTTGGATCATTTTCCATCATTTCCAATGGAGCCAAAGACTCACTATCTTTTGGCTTGGGACTCACTATCATTTCCATCGACGCAATTTTCATCATGGGTCATCCGGAAACAGTCTCTCTGTTCTCTAGTACACTCTAGTACAGGGGTAAGGCTGTGTACATCCGACCCCCCTTACCCCACCGTAGGTGGGAGGCCTTGCGGCACTAGAGTAATGTTGTTGTTGTTAGTCTTTGAATCATATATATATGATGATAAGAATGTGTAGGCTATTAAATTAAGCTGGTTATTCTGATTATTGCAATGGTTCTTCTAAGTTCCCATTTGGGGCATGATGACTTTGGTTAGGTATAGTGGGTGTATTTCAATAAGCTCTTTACGAATAAGAAACAATGTAAGTAGTACTTACTTCTGATTGCAGTTTATTTGCAGCTATTGCTCGGCGTAACTGAATAGTTCCAGTTGTTGCTAAAAGAAAAATAGCGACTTTTCCTTCTTCCACTGAGATCCAGAAACAAGATATATGCATCAAATAAAATATGCGAAAGCCCTAATTCAAGGGAAGAAATATGCATCAACTTCAGTTTGTAAATTTGGGGCATGTAATGAACTTACAAATGAAACTGTTCGAGAGAAAGCTAAATGCCCGGATCAAGACTGTAATATAAGCAAAAGGAACCTCCAAAGATATCAAAAATTTGCCACAGTAAGGAAAATGCAATACATATGTCTTGTCCAACTTCTTGATGAAGATAACATGGAAAAGAAGAGAAAGCAACATCAAGGCAAAACCAGCACCCATCACCGTTAAATTAAATTCTGTCCATTTCGATCGACCAAGAGTTTTAATATTATCCAAAAGGTTAGAATAAGCATAAATTTGCTTCTTCAGTATCGTTAATGATGTAGAGCTATTCCCATTTTGACATTGTACCAGAGCATCTTTGGTATGTGACCACATGTCTTGTGCCAGATCATAAAGGTCAGTAATATGGGACAAATCTTTGTCTGAAAACCCAATAAGTGATGAGTCTGAATACACATCAATATAATTCTTAACCTGCGACAGTAAATTTATGTCTGCAGTTAAGAGAATTGTTTTTAGAATAAGATGAAAACAAATTACACACAGCATGTAATGCTTCGGAACATAGTGAGGAATATGAAACTTTAGTCAAATGCTAGTTTGCTCAAACTTCTAGCACTGAACCCAGTTATAATCTATTTTATCCGTTTTTTATATTCCCTCCATCCTGAAATAATCCTCTCGTTTCTCTTTTTGTATCATCCCAATATAATCATGTGTTCTGTATAGGAAACAAATGTGGGGTTTATAATCATGCTTCTGTCCCAATATAATCATGTTTGCTGTATATGAAAGAAATCTTAGAAATGTGGGGTTAATATTGTTAAATTCATTTCAACCGAATATGACCCACATTCTAATTTTCAAACACACTTCTTAATAAGTGTGCCAAACGGCAAAGTCAAAACAGAGGTAAATCACAACCGATGGAGTAATATTTAACGTATTATTTCAGGTTTGAAGGGAACCTTAAGGAAGCTAGGGAAAGACTTCCCTAAACTCTAAAGCATAAAAATGTAAGGGAATAGCCCGAGTAGATAGATACTATGTTCTAAAATAGAAAATAAAAGGAAATTTCATTCAATGACATCATACACTTGTAGGTTTTACTGTTTGTAACAAGCGCACGAGTTATATTTCTTATCCTAATATTGGCACTAAGTCGCTAACTACGAAGTATGTTAGTGTGACTTTTTCAGATTCCATAAAGTTAAAACTTATCATCCGGTGAAAGAAGAAAACAAAGAAAATTGAAAATACCTACATAATTTCTTGAATTTTCTGAGCCTGGTGTCTGCCCTATTCCTTAAAAAAGGGATGACAAATTACCTGCCATGCATTGATGCAAAGTGCGTTGACATAATTCTGCATCCACCTCTCCAATTGATTTTGACCATTACCATTACCAAAACTATCTAAATTCCAAGTGCCAGCTGCTAATGCATAGAGTTCAGCATTAACTTGTCCAATGCTGAAAATGTTGGCAATATCGTAAACCATCATTCAATGTCGCATCAACCAACAAAATTACCAGAAAATTTACCATCAGATGTGGTGGCTTTGCAAGTTTTTTTAAGGTGAGGGTTTTTGATACGTACGTAACCAATGAAGATAAAGCATGCATGCCATTTATTGCATGCCACATCATTAAGTAAAATATAGCTGAACATATTTAGCTGGAAAGGTATTTTCCTTCTAAATGTAAAGCATAATTAGCACTAACAGGCAATTCTTTATATCCTAGGGAAACTGGTTAACTAGGTTAGATGCTAGTAAGTATCTACATTGTGTAAATAAGCTATCACTTGCTTCCGTGATCACAAACTAAACAGCTTAGGGAAGACACAACCCATAAACTAAAGTTAGACCAAGATACCAAGTAATACAATGTTGCTTGGTGCGAACACATTTACATTCCACGACTCCAGCTTATTTCTACCAAATTTTGTGAACCATGTGAGACTGTTCAAATGTTTAGCAACTGATGCAGATGTGATTCAGGAGATACCAGTTCAGTCTCTTGCTTTAAATGAGTTAGTCAACAATTTGTATTGTGATACTCCATTGCGTATTGGAACACATGGCAAGAAAAGGGTGCTCTGGGCTCTGGGCTCTGGCTCTAATAAAAAGTTAGTTCAAAAATGGAGTTCTGACTCTTAAGAATCCATACTCCATCTATTTTACAATGTGGGACAGGAAGGGTTGTATCACTGCCCACCCATTGACTTAGCTGGACATCCGTGAGTGGCATCTACTCTAACCTCTTTGCTTCGGACTATTCTTAAGGACTGAGTAGCCCTTATTCCCCTTTGGCTAGCTTCACTCCAGTCCCTATCAAGCACAAGGTTATAAAAACAAGCTAGCTTCTTCCTCTGTGAATGGGAAGCATCATATTTCTACAAACAAAAATATCTTACCACAACCATCAAGCTTCATCAGAACTTCACTATCACCAACCTTACACAGTCCATCCAGAAAATATCCCCTTTAATTTTCTCTAACATTCTTTCAAAGACCAAACATGATTTTCTCCAGCTTCAGTCTACAGTAAATAGCAACTCAGAGAAAAAATGAGCAAGCATCCAGGATGTGGAAATGAACTATCTGCCAAGAACTAAAGGGCTTTATCTTCACCGATGTGTTTCTCATTAGCGTCGACACTAAAAGCACACTCTCATTCCTGTTCCTAAGTTACTTGCCTCTCTGACTGCCGACCTTTTCGCCAAAAAACTGAGGTCTCTGGAGTGATAATAAACCTTGATGGCATGTCTGTGACTTCACATGACCAAAGCCCTATCACTCCACCACTGTCATGGCAAACTTGAAACAGTACAGATGATAGAGAGCAGGGAGATCAAGGGGCAGGAACGGGCTTGGGCCAACCTCCGTGGGCTGGTTGTGGGCTATGATTATAGTTTTATTTATTATTATAAAGTTTACGTTATGTTTTCTAGTTTGAGCCTATTATTAGTAGAGTAGTTAGCAGAGTTAATTTGAGCCTAATTGGGGTTAAATTTATTAGATCTCGATTAGGGTTTCGATCGAGTCTCTTATTAGAAGGCTATGAATAAAATTGGAGTTTAGCCTTTTGGCTCTGGGCAACGATTTCTATCGTTGATTATCTGGGCAACGGATTATTCTGTTGATTTTTATTTTTCTTTTTAAGCATTGGGCTTAGGCACTCATCCAAGTAATATAAAGCATCAAAATAAGATAAAGATTTTCCTCATAAATCACAACTGAGTTTTTAGAAATAAACAATGAAGGGAAGTATAATGTGGTTTCAAAATCAATAAGTAATGATGAATGAAACAAGGCAAACAACATGTACTGATGATACTCTTATACAGCACCTTCCAAATGGATAGGGAACACCAAGAAGAGCTGACAATGTAACTGCGAAATCAAGCTGAAACAACAAAACATGGGTTAGTGCATTTTCCTAAAAACCGGGGGGGGGGGGGGGGGGGGGGGGGGGGGAATCAGCACCAACATATGACAAGACTATGACTTGACCTGTTGGATGGAGCTAATGCACATCTTGTTTCCATCCTGGCAAATATACAAAACACTCAGACCGTAAGAAAAATTGTTATTAATATACTTAGCATAAAAGGTAGATCATAGATGTGATAGATATTTAGGACAAAAGAAAGAAAGATGAAGAGAAGAGTGTGAGTAAAGTGGCGCGTGTGTGCACGCCCGACACATACATATTGGTGTCTCTTTTCCCAAAAACAAAATGAGGAAACTCGTGTTTCATTACACTTACATGCCTAGTGATTATGAATGTGATCTGATCTTTTTTGGAAAAAGACAGTAAGCAAAATGCAGTGGGTAAAATAAAGAATATCATATCATAGTTGTAAAGGTATACCAAGTCAACATTGCAAGATGAAGGACCAGATTCCAATGGTAAAGGAGATGGAGGCTTCTTTAAACTCATGGCAAAAAGTGATGTCTCAACCTGCAAAAATTTATCTTTGAGATACAAAGGAAATTGCGTTCTAGTATCTAAAACTGGCGGTGTTCTTTTTGCGTTTTTCAGTAGTTTTGTTTCTTGAGATTGAAGTTAAATAGTTTTCAGTGTTAAACCTCTTCAGCAGTCCCCCCACCATGATCACCATTGACAGTTTGCCCATGATCACCCATCACAAGAAGCAAAGTGTTTTCATGTAACCCTCCTGGTCCACTCTGGCCCTCCAGCACATCTACTATTTTCTAAAGACATGGCCCGATCCATTAATTATTGCGAAAGAAATTAAGCACGAAAAGTAACATGCAAATCAATGTTGCTCCCCCTTCAACACATAAAGCCCAGCGTACCCAGATTTAATCATGCTTGACAACATAATAGATGGTACATTGAAGATAAGCCACTGTAAAACAGAAGAATAAATTCACAACTTCACAATTGATAAGTAACTGAAGAATCCAAGAAGAAAGTAGTAGTTTATTAATGAAAATTTAGTGAAGGAATACAGAAAGTCACGAAAGGAAAGGTTTGAGACTCTTCGAGTGGTCTCTCACTCCCAATATCCCAGTCCTGATCCCAAGTTCTGCCCCCCCATCTAATCCCCACTCACCCTTATTTATTCTATTTCTAATGGGCCAGCCCACTTCTAATAAGTTGTAGGGCCTAAACCCTATTATTGAACAAAACTAAAATGACTTAATAAGGCTCTAATTCTTGGTAGTGTTCAGGTCCCTAACATCACTCCCCCCTTTAACTTCCACTTTGTCCTCAAGGTGGATGATAAGAGACTGATTTTGCATTGAGACTGATTTTGCATTAGGTTCCAGCAAGTTTTCAGCTCCATCCCGCTCATAAAATTGATCTACTGTGCCCTCCTCTTCTTCTGGCTCTTCCCTCAAGATCAATTGATAATGTTTCATTCCACAAACATGCTCTTTGCCCCATTTGTTTCCACATTTGAAGCATAAGCCCTTCTTGCTTCTTTCTTCTAAGTCTGCTTGTGTCAACCTTTGGCCACCTTCCCATGTCTTACTCGGTTTTGGCGATTCCTCCAGTTTGTTCTCTGAAAGTGTTCTCTCCGGATTTAACGCAGGTGTTCTTCCCTTTGTTGCGTCTACCCAGTTCCAGGGTCTAACCATTTTTCCTCCCTGTTCCTTCCAACCTATGTTGTCTTCTTCTTTATTTTTTTTCCCTATCCACACCTTATTCTTCTGCTCCAACAACAAAGCCTTGTCCATCAGTTCAGTTAACCCACTGGTCTGGTGCAACTTCAGTTCCGTGCTAATTTCTTTTTTAAGGCCATTGAGAAACACTCCTTTTAACATCCCTTGGTCAGCAAGTTTGAGAGGAGCTACAACCATTTCAAAGTGATCCCGGTATTCCATTACAGAACCAGTTTGCCTAATACTGAGCATAGGACCAAACGGATTCTGCACTAAGGCAGGTTGAAAACGCCGGAACAAAGCATCTTTGAAGTTAACCCAAGAATGGTCATCAGTCTGTTCATCCCACCATTGGTACCAGTTCAGAGCTTTTCCGGCCATGGCTATCAAGATTATTTCTACTTTATCCTCTTCTGCCACATGGTTGAGTTTGAAATAGCGCTCAACCCTAATCAGCCATCCATAAGCATCGTCTCCACTAAAAAGTGGTAAATCGACCTTTCTTCCAGTATATACACGGTCGCTGATTCTCTTCTGATAAGGGCTGCGTGAAACTGAGTGAGTTTCATGAGATTTACCTTCAGAACTAGAGGAGCTCACGCTTGCTGAAGTATGGCGACGACGGTTTGTGGTAGATCGTCCTCTTCTCTTATGGCGGTCACCCTGTAACATGATATTCTTCATTTCGGCCACGGTCTCACGCAAGCCAAGCAGTTCATTCACGGCAGTTCTCACTTCCGCTAGGGTGTTTTCCAGATTTTCCACACGTTGCTCCATTCTCGATCGGGTCAAGACCATGCGCAGGTAAGGCTTTTGTCAATGGCTTTGATACCAATGATAAGTAACTGAAGAATCCAAGAAGAAAGTAGTAGTTTATTAATGAAAATTTAGTGAAGGAATACAGAAAGTCACGAAAGGAAAGGTTTGAGACTCTTCGAGTGGTCTCTCACTCCCAATATCCCAGTCCTGATCCCAAGTTCTGCCCCCCATCTAATCCCCACTCACCCTTATTTATTCTATTTCTAATGGGCCAGCCCACTTCTAATAAGTTGTAGGGCCTAAACCCTATTATTGAACAAAACTAAAATGACTTAATAAGGCTCTAATTCTTGGTAGTGTTCAGGTCCCTAACAACAATTCACTACCCAGCCAGTATTCAGATTCATTTGACAAGTATACAATCAAGAAATAGTGAAGATATTGTTGATAAAACGAAGAGACATCATTAATCTAGGATTTATTTTCCTTATTATTACTGTAATTATGTATCTTTAGTGCTTCAGGTTGTATTTAATAGCTGCTGTCTTTTCAGTTCTCAATCATTTATGTTTAGTATTTAGACAGTCACCTAGGGTGCTGAATAGACTCTCTCAGGATTCCTATCTGTATAAATAGCTTATGTACTTCTTGTAAATGAATTCAAGGAAATAATATTCAGAAAACTTCATGGTATCAGAGCTTGGTTTCGTCTAAGCCTTTTTTGAGTCAGTCTATCACCTCTCCAACGGCCATTTTTTGGGTGTCTCTACCCTTCTCTCTCTTTAACTCCCGGTGGAGTCTCTTCATCAAGGGTTTTATCATGTCTAAAGAAGCCGAATCAGCCTCAAGTAACCTTGATCACTCAACCATTGTTTCAGCTGCTACTGCAGCCGCGTTTGCTCTTCGAAACCAGAAATTTGATCTCCCTTCTATCCCGCCATCTTACCGTCTCAATGGCAGGAACTATCTTGGGTGGTCAAAGCTGGTTTACACTCTTCTACGTGGCAAAGATCTTGAAGATTATCTCACTGTCTCTACCCCAGAAGAAGGAGAGATTGATGCTGCTATTTGGGAGAAAACTAATGCCAACGTACGGGTTTGGTTATGGGACTCTATGGATCCCAACATTAGCAGTACATGTTTATACATGGACTCGGCTAAAGAAATCTGGGATTTCATACAGCAGTCCTACTCTGTTGCTAAAGATGGCGCTTTTGTCTATGACTTATGGCTCAAAACAACGAATCTTAAGCAAGATTCACAATCTGTCACAGATTATGCAACTGACCTCCAACGACGATGGTCTGAACTTGACCAGTATCAAACGATGAAGTGGTCGAATGCTGCAGATGCAACTCTTCACAAGAACTATATAAATCAGCAACGTCTATATTGCTTCTTGTCTGGTTTAAATCCCGAATATGATCAGACTCGGGGTCAAATTCTTGGCATTACTCCTCTGCCTTCCATATCTTCTGCCATTGCCACTATCAAACATGAAGAGAGCAGACGCAATATAATGATGAATACAAATCTGATTGACAGTACAGCTCTTGCTTCCAAATCTACTCCTTCAGATGTTAAGGAAACTAAGGGTAGTAAGGGAGGAAGATGGTGTGATCATTGCAAGCGGTCCAACCATAATGTGGATACATGCTGGAAACTTTATCCTCATCTACAGAAAGAAAGGAAAAGCCAAGACAGACGTGGAATGAGTGCTGGACGTGCCAACTCAGTCACTCCCACTATTGTTGAGAGCTCTACTAATCTTTGGCCCATTTCCCAGGAGGAATTAAAGCAAATTCGTATGATGTTACAGTCTCTTAATAACTCAAATGGTTCTGGTCATAGCTCTTTGGCCCTGCAAGGTAAAACCTCTACTATTTTTTGTCTTAATGCTTCGGAACAGAGTTCACAATCCCAATGGATATTAGACTCAGGTGCCACATCTCATATGACTGCCATACCCTCTTTACTCTCTAATTATCATCCATGTTTTACATCCACGCACATTACTACTGCTGATGGGACACCTACAAAGGTTGCGGGACTTGGTACGGTTGTTTTTTCTGAAAAATTAAATCTGAAAAACACCCTACATGTCCCAAACCTGGCTATGAACCTTGCTTCTATTTACAAACTCACAGTTGATCTTAATTGTGCTGCCATTTTTTTCCCTTCCCACTGTTTATTACAGGATCTACACACGGGGAGGACGATTGGAATTGCTAAACAAAGAGATGGCCTGTACTACCTTGATGCACTGTTTGTCTCCAAACCTCCACAAAAAGCTCTTACCACAATCACAGCCAATACCAACACTATTTGGCTTCACCACAAGCGTCTTGGTCATCCCTCTTTTCATGTCCTAAAAACCATGTTTCCCAGTCTTTTTAGTAGTATTGATGTTTCTACATTTCAATGTGATGTCTGTGAACTTGCTAAACAGTCTCGTGTATCTTTTTCCAGAAGTAATACAATCAGTTGTTCTCCTTTTGATATTATACATAGTGATGTCTGGGGTCCTGCTCCAATTGCTAATATATCTGGTGCCCGGTGGTATGTTACATTTATTGATGATTGTACACGTTTTATGTGGGTTTTTCTGCTAAAAAACAAGAGTGAGGTGAGTTCCATCATTCCTATCTTTTGCAATATGATTCATAATCAGTTCTCCGCCACAATAAAACGCTTCCGCACTGATAATGCTCTTGAATACTTCAATCAAACCGTTTCCTCTTATTTCCTCTCAAAAGGCATTGTTCATGAGTCCTCTTGTCCGTACACACCACAACAGAATGGCACAGCAGAAAGAAAAAATCGCCATCTCCTAGACGTCAGTCGGGCTTTATTGTTTCAATCAAATATGCCTAAACACTATTGGGGGGAAGCCACACTCACAGCATGTCATCTCATCAATAAAATTCCCAGTCGGGTACTCCAAAATAAGTCACCCCTTGAATCTCTCCGTCATTTCTTTCCTCAAACCAGAATTTCTTCTGATCTTGATCTAAGGGTGTTTGGGTGTACTGCATTTGTTCATATTCCTCCACCTCATAGGGGAAAATTGGACCCACGATCTATTAAGTGTATCTTTCTTGGTTACTCTCCAACTCAGAAAGGATATAAGTGCTATAATTCTACAACCAGAAAGACATACACCAGTGCAGATGTGACCTTTCACGAAGACACACCTTTTTACACTCCTACTTCTCTCCCTGTATCCCAAGATACTCCACATCCTTCACCTCTGCCCACCTATACTATTACATCTTCTCCACCACATACAATCTCCTACCCTCCTAAGCCTTTATCACCAGACATCCCATCACCACCACCACCACATGATCATCCATCACATTCCTTAGATGTGTCAGCAACCTCACCTACTTCCCAACAGTCTTCAACATCACCTGAACCTCAATCAAATACACCACCAGATCATCCCATTCCTACACCTACTAAATCCACCACTCATGACCCATCTTCTCCTCTACCAGTGACAAAAGTGTACTCAAGGAAAAACAGGTTCACTCCATTGTTGACGCATGACCAATTGGCTGACCCAGGTAATGTCTCTTCTTCTCCACCACCATCTCCGCCAATTGCTTTACGCAAGGGTGTACGTCAATGTACCAAAACACCTCTATACCCTCTTGCTAATTTTGTTACCATTGATAACTTCTCTCCTTCACATGCCTTGTTTGTTCAGAGACTTAATGAAATTCCCATACCCAACTCTGTTTCTGAGGCATTAGGAAAGAAAGAATGGAGGGATGCTATGCAAGAGGAAATTAGAGCTCTTGAAAAGAACCATACTTGGGATATTGTGACTAAACCTCCTGGGAGGCATGTTGTTGGTTGCAGGTGGATCTTTACTGTCAAATACAAGGCTGATGGATCTCTTGAGCGGTACAAAGCTCGTCTTGTGGCTAAAGGATACACTCAGACGTATGGGATTGACTATCAAGAGACCTTTGCTCCTGTAGCTAAGCTCAATACTGTCCGTATCCTACTCTCCTTGGCATCTCACTTTGATTGGCCTTTATTGCAATTTGATGTCAAGAATGCTTTTCTCCACGGTGACTTGCATGATGAGATCTACATGTACATTCCCCCAGGCTTTAATAAAACATCAACAAGAACCTCTACACATGTATGTCATTTAAAAAAAGCCCTCTATGGTCTCAAGCAATCCCCTCGTGCTTGGTTTGACCGCTTCACACAGGTTGTTCTTGCTGCTGGGTATAGTCAAAGCCAAGGGGATCATACTCTTTTTTACAAACACTCTCGCCCAAATGGAGTCACTATTCTTTTGGTATATGTGGATGACATCATTGTGACGGGTAATGATCCAGTTGAGAAACAACGTCTTGAGGGGCAGCTGAAATCCAAATTCGAGATGAAGTCTCTTGGCCCTCTAAAATACTTTCTTGGAATTGAAGTTGCTCGCTCATCTGAAGGCATCTTTATCAGCCAACAAAAGTACATTACAGATTTGTTAAATGAGACCGGTAAGAGTGCTTGTCGACCGGTTAATGCACCTATGGATCCTAATCACAAGCTTGGACTTGCTACTGATGAACCCAAGGTTGATTCATCAATGTATCAGCGCTTGTGTGGCAAACTTATCTATCTCTCTCATACTAGACCTGACATTGCCTATGCAATTAGTGTTTTGAGTCAGTTCATGCATGATCCAAGGAAACCACATCTAGAAGCAGCCTATAGGGTTCTTCACTACCTAAAAGGAAGTCCAGGGCAAGGGATAATATTCAGGAAGGGTGGGCAATTATCAGTCCAAGCCTTCACTGATGCAGATTATGGTGGCTCCCTCGTTGACCGCCGGTCAACTACTGGTCTCTGTGTTTTCCTAGCAGGAAACCTCGTGACATGGAGAAGCAAAAAACAGAATGTTGTGGCACGATCATCTGCTGAATCTGAGCTAAGAGCTCTTGCCCATGGCTTATGTGAACTTCTATGGATCAGAATTATTCTCTTAGATTTACGAATCAAGTGGAAAGGACCAATGGAATTGAGGTGTGATAACAAATCAGCAATCAACATAGCTCATAATCCAGTCCAACATGATCGGACCAAGCATATTGAGATTGATAGGCACTTTATCAAAGAAAAGGTTGAAGGAGGTCTGATCGAACTAAGCTACACTCCCTCAGAAGATCAAGTTGCAGATGTGTTTACCAAACCTCTGCACAGTCCTAGGTTCCAGGGTCTTATTGTCAAGCTAGGCATGACGGATATCTACAAACCTAGCTTGAGGGGGAGTGTTGATAAAACGAAGAGACATCATTAATCTAGGATTTATTTTCCTTATTATTACTGTAATTATGTATCTTTAGTGCTTCAGGTTGTATTTAATAGCTGCTGTCTTTTCAGTTCTCAATCATTTATGTTTAGTATTTAGACAGTCACCTAGGGTGCTGAATAGACTCTCTCAGGATTCCTATCTGTATAAATAGCTTATGTACTTCTTGTAAATGAATTCAAGGAAATAATATTCAGAAAACTTCAATATGCATCAAGAATTTAGAGTTGCATGCCAATTGAATATTCACTAAGAGGCGGTCAGTCTTCAATTTCAGCAAAATATGAGGAGCAAAATCCAGATATGTTTCACACAAGCAGTGACTTAAAGGCACGGGTGAATGTATAAGGAAGTCTGTATTATACACCCGCCCTTTTTGTTTTAAACTTCTTTTCTTGTTGGGATCTCCCTTTTATTCGAATAGCATGAAGAAGTATATAAAAGGCACCGAGGGATTCAAACTCATTGTAAGAGTGTCACAATGGCACATGCAGAAACATAATTTCAGAAACTACCACAGCCATATGTAATTGTCAATTTAAATATGCAAAAAAAGTTTAAATTAACAATGTACCTCGAGAATCCCATTGTATTGTTCCAACTTCTCTATCATTTGAGTAGAATCAACACCTGATATATGTCCAGCATGATCCTAGAGATTTAGAATTTAATTTTGGATTTGATTAGTGGGGGAAAAGCGGCAGGTGTAATTGATAACATTGAGGTAGCTTATGATAATCATACCACTCCAAGAAAATGTGCAATAAGCACATCCCAATCATTTTTGTGCAAAGATGGAAATAGGTGCTCGATGCATCCATTGTCAACCTGGCAGATATGAATGATGAATATCCAGCTAGAAAGCATCTTTTTCAATGCTCAACCCGACACCCTATTTTTAATGCAAAATCGGGTTTTAATGCCTACTTCCTCAGGAAGAGCAAGTGTCAACAATGGTATCAATAAATACAACTAAAATAAGATACAAAACATACCGTATGAAGATCTTTGACATTGAAGGAAGGGAACGGATACGATCTGTTAAAATGTTTAGGAAACAACTGCAACCAAGTGTCATCTCCCATCATCAACACTCGCTTTTCATTATGAACCATCTATAAATATAAATCAATTGTATAAACACTATTGGATACACACAGGTAGTAAGACTATAATGATGAAATGAATTCACTGCAATACATCATAGTTTCTATTAACATGCATCTTTGTCATTACCTGATATATCAAATTATCCTCTATAATTGCAGGAGCACCAAAGCTATTTCCCACATCAATAAAAGTAGGAAGTCCACCCGTTGTCAAGCCCTAAATCAGAATACATAAAATGCCTCACAATTGTTACTCCATGTGTCCCAAAACAGATGTTACATGTACTACTCAGTACTCATTGGTTAAACTACGTCTTATTCCTTTATTCTCATCAACAATTTTGTAACTACAATCAAGTTAATTCTTGTTTCATAGAATATTAATATTAAATTAAATTATAGAAAAATGTTGGAAGAAAGGTATCAGTTAAGGCTGTTAAGCCAAGTCATACGACTAGGCATCCCATGTACAGCAAAGGTGTTAGAAAACTAAGCACTTTGAAGCCCCAATAAAAAACATAGGAATGAAATACAACTAAAATTACAATCAGAACAAGATTTCTGATGTAAATAATTCTTGAACAACATGGATATGCGTGGACTTAAAACTTGATAAATGAATAACATAAACTAACCGCTAATACCACAGGTGGGACTGTGAGTAAAGCCTGAGGGTCAAAGCTAGTGTTCTTTATTTGAGAATAGGCATTTCTGAAGTAATCATCGAGGAAAAATATTTACCTTTAGCCGCTGCAAACTGGTAGTAGGTGGATCTGCTATAGCTTTAAAGATCCTAGCAGATGATCCAGGCCGAGTGGCGAGCTTATGCAACACATGTAATTTGTCCATCCATGGTTTCTTCTCTAAAACATTAGTGAAAAAAGAAAAGCAAGAAAGAAAGACAAGGCACAACATATCTTTAAGTACTGTCCATGAGGATTAAGCAAGTTTTAAGCAACTATTAATAAGTGGCACATAAATGAACTGACTGAGTGACAAAGCTGAAAAAGGGGAATGTAAAAGAACTGGTACCAAGAAACATTATCTCAATTTTTTACAGATCAAAGAAAGTGCAAATTGATGGGAAAAGGAGATCAGATGCGTACCCTGAAAAAATGTGCTGGGAGCAACAAAGTCAAACCTGTTTTAAATTTTAACGCAGAAGTAACTAATTAGACAGCTACATTATACTAAATTCATTTAGTTATTTACTCCCTGTGTCTCATAAAAAATATTTTTACTGAATTGAAATGCCAGACAAAACTGTCCCCATTCAATAAATAAAATTATTATATTGCTTTATTCCTCAAAAAGTACCTTGAATAAGAACTGAATATAGAATATACTCTGTATATATATAGGATAGGATACTACTCAAATTTATGATATGAAAATTGGAAAAATACCATGCACTTAAATGCATGAAATATACTTCCCTAAATGTATACATCTTCTCAAACATGATAATCTTTTCTGTAGGCGGGGGGAGTCTAATTGGAAAGGAATGAGGGGAGGGGGATTTCATAAAAACAAGAAAGGAGAGATCGCGAGAATGTAAATATTAAAGTAGTACCTGAGAGCATCAAGAACGATGATGACGAGGCGGTCAACAGATTGCTTGGTCCAACAACTTTGGCTTTGATTATTAACATGGGGAGAATGTTTGGTCGTTTCTTCATGTTCTTCTTTCTTTCGATTGATAAAAGATGAAGGAGGTTGAAAGCAGGGTGAATTGTGGATATCAGAGCACTGGCTGTATTGTGAAAGCTCTGTGCGGGTGAGAAGAAAGCCTTTTGTGAATAAATATATAGCCAATCCATGAAGTACAAAAACTCCCAGGAGCACCATCATAAAAGCCATTCGTCCAGTACCCATTTCACGTTTCACTGCTCCCCTAATGCCTTTGGACTCTTTTCTTTCAAGAGTTGGAAACCGAGAAGTTATGAACCCGTCTCAAGAACTATGAAGCACTGCTTAACAAAGTACCAAACAGAAAGAAAATGAGATAGAAGAAATCAGGGGGAGTGAAAACCAAGACTGAGATGATTTGAAGCAGAATGTATGCCATGTTTATAAAATAATTATAAAACTATACCCAATTATTTCCATTTGAAATTTGGACTGAATATATTTAGCTCAGATAGAGAAGTGAAATTGTTGAACAGATGATTGACTTCATTTTCCACAATTTATTACTGATAACGGTTAAACGAAAGGGAAAGCATGGGAATCATTCAGCATAGATTCAGCCAATCTGGATCTACAGCTAGAGTAAAATCATGGTTTTAGTAGTATACTCTATTGTTTGTTACTCCTCAATCTCAAATGTTCATTCTTTGCTGATCAAAGATATGGTTTTGACTTTAGTGAAACCTTTTTGCCAGTTGTCAAACATGTTACCACTCGGACTTTACTCACCATTGCAGTGTCTAATTCTTGGTATGTCCAACAACTTGGTATTAATAATGCTTTTCTAAATGGGGATCTTGAGGAAGAAGTTTATATCGTTCAGCCTCCAGGTTTTCAATCTCAGGATAAGTCTATAGTTTGTAAAGTCAACAAGGCTTTGTATGGATTAAAACAAGCTCCTAGAGCCTGGTTTCTTAAACTTACTTCTGCACTCTATACCATTGGGTTCAAGCAAACTAGAGGCGATCCTTCACTACTGGTTTATCTCTCTGTTAGGAATAGTGTAGGAAAACTACACGTGTATTCCTTTGTAAAGCAATGTAACTACTTTCTGTTAGGCTTCAGTTGTGTTAGCATACAGTTAGCTATGACTACAGCTTGTATAAATACTCTGTAATATCTGATTCTCATTAAGATGATTTCATTTCTATCTTCTACCTCGCTACAGATTTACTCTCTAATGGGATTCAGATTTATGTGTTGATCTATGTTAATTATATACTTGTCATTGGTAACAATACTACTGTTGTCCACCAACTCATTCAAAAACTAAATTCCTCCTATTCTCTTAAAGCATTTGGGAGAACTTGATTTCTTTTTGGGTAGAGAAGCTTGCAAATTGCCTGACGGTAGTTTGCATCTTTCTCAAGATAAATATTTAAGAGACTTACTTGATAAGGTGGGCATGACTGACTAAGGGAATTACAACACCTATGATTCCTATGAAGTATGAACAGCAATTGTAAACTTCTCAAAGGAGGAAACATCATGCATGATCCTACTCATTACAAATCTATTGTGGGGGCTTTACAATATGCCACTTTAACAAGACTAGAAATTAGCTATATTGTTAATAAAGTGTGTGAGTTCATGGTTGAGCCGCTGGAGGCACATTGAAAAGCCGTCAAAAGGATCTCAAGGTACCTTTCAGGTACACTCAAGCATGGATTTACTCTAAAATCAGCTTCTTCATCCTCACCCATTCCCATCACAGCATTTTGTGATGCTGATTGGGCTTCAGATCCCAATGACAGGAGATCCAAATCAGGATCATGTATTTTTCTAGGACCAAATTTGATTTCTTGGTGGTCCAGAAAACAAGTATGTGTTGCCACATCTTCTGCCGAAGCTGGATACAGAAGTCTGACTAACACTACAGCTGAAATCCTATGGATTCAGTACTTGCTTGAAGAAATTAAAGTTCCATATTCTATTCCTCAAGTCTATTGTAATAATCTCAGCACTGTACATCTTGCTCCTAATCCTGTTTTTCACTATAGAATCAAACATATGGAGCTTGACCTATATTTTGTTCGTGAAAAGATTTACTAAAAGAATGATAGGGATACAACTAAACCGAGTAAAGAAGATAAATACTTTGGCAAAGTCTATTCTAGAAGGAATAAATAGAATAGTTAGTTGTTAGTTAAAGTCTGTTATTAGCTAATAACTACCTTCGATTGAGCTGGAAAACTATAAATAGAATAAGTCTGGGAGTGGAAGGCGGGCTGTTTTGATGTTTAGTCTGGACTGGGAAGATTGAGACTTATCATCTCTCTCTTTCGGGACTTCAGCTGTAAACTTTCACCATTAGTAAAGTTCTTGAATTGTTTCTTTGAACTCTGTTCATCTTTTCTATGAAATTTCTGTGTACCTGGAGATATTCTATCAGTGGTATCAGAGCACGTCGATCACTATGGATGGTCCTGAAAAGAACAAAGATGGACTTGCGGATGAACGAACAGGAGAACAACCAAAATAGACTGGATGAAAAATTGGAAAGAAATCAGCAACAGACCACGGCGATCTTGACGGCGATGCAGGCGACTCTCGCAAAATTGGAGAATCGAGCCCAAAGTCGACCGCGAAGCAGGTCACATGCCTCGCACACATCGCATCGCACATCGCATCACCATTCTACGCGACATTCTGCCAGCTCAGAGGGATCGGAAGGCAATTCTGATTATTCACCTCCACAGCGCAATCGTCCCCACCATCACACTGGAAGAAAGCTAGACTTACCTTTATTCAATGGCGATGACGCCTATGGGTGGCTAGTGAGGATTGATCGCTATTTCAGACTCAACAATATCGAAGAAGAGGACAAGATAGAAGTAGCAGTGGTAGCCATGGAGGATAGAGCGCTCAGCTGGTTCCAATTGTGGGAGAACCAAGCACGAGAGAGGATCTGGGAAAAATTGAAGAAGGCTCTGACTCGTCGCTTTCAACCGGAGCTTGTTCAAAATCCTTTGGGGCCATTGTTGAGTCTGAAACAAAAGGGGACTGTTCAGGAGTTCAGAGAACAGTTTGAGATGGTGATTGCCTCTCAGGAAAATTTGGACCGAAAAGTAATGAAGGGAATTTTCTTGAATGGATTGAAGAAAGACATCCGTTCTGAATTAAAGCTTTACAATGCAAAAGACCTAGCTGAGATCATGGACAAAGCATTATTGATTGAAAATGAGAATAATGAGATTGTGTCTAGGAGAAATAAGGAAGAAGGGAGAAGAAGAATGTGGAGAATAATCTGGCCAAAGAAAACAGTTATCAAAAATGGGGAGATGGTGTTAGAAGTAGCAGTAACCTAATCCCTACAAATTCTTCTGGGAAGAATTCTTTTGATAACAAGACTGTGGAAGTGGCTGAAAGCTCTAATTCCAAGAAAATAGGTCCCAGACTATCCCAAAATGAGTTGATGGAAAGAAGTAAAAAGGGACTATGTTTCAAATGTGGAGAAAATTGGAATAGAGGGCATGTTTGCAGGATGAAAAATTTTAAGATGGTCTTGATGGAGCAATCTGAAGGTGAGGCAGAATCTGAAGCAGATTCTAGTGATTCTGAAGAAGAAGAGGGAAATCACCTAGAATCTAAGGCTATGCAGTTATTGGTGCTCAGTAAAGAAGGGATACCTTCTATGAGAACCTTTAAGGTGATGGGAAAACTGAAATGGTCTACAGGTGAGAGGCAAGTGAACATTCTCATTGATAATTTGATAGTGGTGCTACCCACAACTTCATATCCCAGAATTTGGTTGATAAGTGTAAAATTCCTTTCAACCAAATTAAAGGATATAAAGTCCAGATTGGGAATGGGGAATTCACTCCCAATAGTGGCAGACGTATGGGGATGAAATTAGAAGTGCAGGGGAATGAAATACAATAAATCTTTTATATCCTGGAGTTAGGAGGTACTGATGTGGTGCTGGAAATGGAGTGGTTAACTAAATTGGGAGATATGGAGGTCAATTTCCAGTACCAGACCATTAAATGGAAACAATATGGACAGGATTGTACTATCAAGGGGGATACAGCCCTAAATAATATGGAAGTCTCTCTTAAAACCATGACACATATTCTGCAGCACACTGGAGATGGGTATTTGCTGTACTGTGAAGGGCAAGAGCAGGAACAGGATACGGAAAAAGAGAAATGAAGAATGGGAGGAAATTGTGAATGAATTTCCGGAAGTTTTCAAATCTAAACTGGACTTCCCTCCTATCAGATCTTGTGATCATGCCATCCAAATCATGGAAGGAGCCAGCATACCTAACCTAAGGCCTTACATGTATTCCTATGATCAAAAAAATGAAATTGAAAAGATCATTAAGAAAATGCTAAGTTCAGGGATTATAAAACAAAGCAATAGTCCTTATAGCAGTCCAGTATTATTGGCTAAGAAGAAGGATGGTGGGTGGAGGTTTTGTGGAGATTATAGATCCCTGAACAAAATAACAGTCCCGGACAAGTTTCCAATCCCAGTAATTGAACAACTCCTTGATGAATTAGGGGGAGCTAAGGTATTCTCAAAATTGGACTTAAAATCTGGATATCATCAGATTAGGATGAAAGATAGTGACACACACAAAACTGCTTTCAGGACTCATGACGGTAATTATGAGTACTTAGTCATGCCCTTTGGGTTGACTAATGCTCCCTCAACTTTCCAATCCCTAATGAATGAAGTCTTGAGACCATTCCTAAGGAAATTTGCTCTAGTTTTCTTTGAGGAAGGTCTTAGAAGACCTGAAGGAGAACAGACTAGTAGCCAATGGAAAAAAGTGTTCATTTGGTCAAAATAAATTGACTTGTCTGGGTCATATCATTTCTGAGCATGGAGTTTCTGCAGACCCTAGTATAATAGAAGCAATGAAGGAACCAAAGGACCTCAAAGGGTTGAGAGGGTTTTTAGGGTTGACTGGCTATTATAAGAGGTTTGTGAGAGGGTATAGCAAGATTGCTGCACCTCTAACACAATTGTTGAAGAAATATAGTTTCAAGTGGGATGATATGGCCAATAAAGCATTTGAAGAACTGGAACTTACCATGACATCTCTACCAGTGTTAAGGACCCCAGATTTCAGCAAGATGTTTATTGTGAAAACTGATGCTTCAGGAAAAGGGCTGGGTGCTGTATTGATGCAAGACGATAGACCTGTAGCTTATATGAGCAAGAAATTGTCTGTTAAACATCAAACAGATCAGTATATCAGAAAGAATTGATGGCAATTGTATTTGCCATCCAGAAATGGAGGCCCTATTTGCTGGGAAGGAAGTTTGAGCCT